GGTCGACGCTGGGCTCAGTCCCCAAATTAAACCTCAGATTGGATGAGGCCCATGGTTGCCCAGGAATATGACTGGTGTGGTAGGCGCTGTGTAAGCACTGCCCTGAAGCTCAGACGGCAGAGGGTCCCTTCCTCATGCCCCACAGACAGGGGGTGGTCATTCCCCAGGGACCTGGACCCAGTGCTGGCTGAACCAAAAGGAGGCCAAGCCACATCACAGATGGTGGCATGGCCTTGTGAGCAGCCTGCAGCGGGGCTCACTGGATCTGGAGAGGAGGTGGAGGTGAGCAGTGCCTCCCAGAGCAGGGAAATCTCTGAGAGCACCAAGGCCAGACGGGGGCTGGACCCAGGGCTGGGGGCTCAGGGCAGCCTGGAGCACAGAGAGAATGGAGGGAGCAGGTGAGCTGGGGACCAGGACCCGGCCAACCCCTTTCTGGCCAAGTCCACTTAGCTTGTGCAGGGAAGCCCATTTTGGCTGCCTTCCTCAGGGAAGGAGTCCCACCCCCAGGGAATCGTTTGCTTCCCGTGGGGTCTGCTGTCTCCTACAGAACCACAGAGGTGAGCCACACTGCCAGGACTGGGCACCTGATCCAAGGAAGGCCAATGACAGTCCTGTCCCCAGGGGCCCCTTGGCCCTTCTCGGGGTGACCCGCTGAGGCCTGTGAGGTCTGGGCATGTTGGGAGGCTGGTCTGAGGGGGTGGCCCTGCAGCCTGGGAGCAGCAGGAAGGAGGATGGGGGAGAGCCAGAGCCTGGGTGCTGGTGTCCTGGAGGTCACCTGGGGACTAGTTCTGTCGGCCACCTCACTGGTCCCCTTTCTCCCCGGTGGGCAAGAATCAGCATCTGTCACCTCCACCCACAGTCTTGACTCAGAGCCCTGGGGCTGTGCCCTGTGGACCCACCTACCTCTCTGCATTTGGGGATCAAGAGCATTTTCTCTTAGTTTCCTAGCAAAATTCCGCTCCAAAAAGTCTGCTTTCACTTCTGCTGAAGGAGGGTGTGGGGAAGAATTGAGGATTGAAGGGGACAGAGGGGTCACTGTGGAGGCTGGCTGGCTGCCAGGGTCTCAGCTGCTGGCCCTCTGTTGCCTGAAGGCCCAGAAGCCCGCATTTCCCTCTACTTGTGCTCAGGGCACTGGGAGCTTAGGCAGCTCATGAGAAGCCTCCTTCTTATATCAGTGTATTTGGGAAGCCAGCGTCAGAGGAGAGAGTGGCAGGCAGACTCGAGGGACATTTCCAAGGCCTTGGTGGGACTGGGGGCATCTTTCCTGTCCCAGCCTTGGCACCCCTCTCTGTGTGCCCATCATATTGGGGTGTCGTACCTGGAGGGGGCTGGTTCTCTGGGCTGTCCTGTCCCTCCTCTCCACGGGCTGCAGGTAGGACAGGACTGATTAGGACACCCCGGGTCACCCCAGGTCACCTAGATTGAATGGAGTTGGCGGGTCCTCAAAGCTCTCCATTCCCCCTCTACAGACCAACGTCTTGTGAATTTTGCCCACAGAGGGCCAGTCTTCTCCATGATAAATGGCCTTACCAGCATCTCCTTTTTTCCCTCATGTCACGTTCCTGGGAGGGTCCAACCAGGTGGGAGTCTGCGCTGGGTTGCCTTGGTTACGAAGCTGGGAGCCCTCTCAGGGCTGGGCAGGGAGAGTTCAGGAACCCCCAAGGTGGGAGTGCCAGGACTCCTGCCCTCCTCCACCTGCAGTGGGCTCGCGCACCTGGAGAGACCCTCGCTTCACTTATTGCAATAACCCCCCCAGGCCTCTCCCCGCCTCAGCGTGTCTTCTTTGCTGCGGGCAGAGCGGGCTCCTCATTTCACAGCCCCCTGGCTCCCTATCACCTACAAAAAATCATCCAAGCCCATGGCACGCACTGTAGGTGTGCTGGTTCCATCGTCACTCGGACTATCCTCGTGTGGCCACAGCCCAATCTAGAGGCCCCAGATTTCCCGTTTTCCCAGTCCAGCTCCACATGGGCCCATCTCCACACCTTTGCTCAGGCTGCTCCCTCTGCCTTCATTTCCTGTCTGAATCCTCCTTCCTCCAAGGCTCCAGGAAATCCGCCTGCTGGAAGTGATGGCTCCCTTCTGAGCCCCTTGTTTGTCTTGCTGGGCAGTCAGGATCACAGGGCGTCTCGGGTCCACTTCCCATCTCTCCCACTTTGCTCCATTAGGCCAATGACCACATCATAATAGGACCTTGACTACTCCTAGGACTGGCAAGGCACCCATCGGACACTTTATTTTTTTATTTTTATTTTTGCTGAGGAAGATTCGCCCTGAGCTAACATCTGTTGCCAATCTTCCTCTTTTTCCTTGAGGAAGATTTGCCCTGAGCTAACACCCGTGCCCATCTTCCTCTATTTTGTATGTGGGTTGCTGCCATAGCATGCCCGCCAATGAGTGGTTATAGGTCTGCGCCTGGGAACCGAACCTGGGCCACCAAAGTGGAGCATGCCAAACACGGAGCCGGCCCCAGGGCACTTTATAAGTAATTGTTCATTTAATCCTCACAACCACTCAGAGGAGGGTGGCGCCATCCCGATGTTTGGCTGCCTGTAAACTGAGGCCCAGAGTTTGATTTCCCCTAGGTCTCATAGCTCATCTCTTCGTTCACAGCTCCTATGAGGCTGGTGTTGCATTGATTGGTTCTCAGTAAATTCTCCCTGAAGGCCCAGGAAGGTGGTAAGAAAAGACCCTTGAGATTTCAGTGTAGCCTTCTCCCAATTTAGCGACCCTCAGCATCACCCCGGGGCTCATAAAACACATTGCTGGGCCCCACCCTTAGAGTTTCTGACTCACGGGGTGGGGCCGGGCCTGAGAATGGGCATTTCTAACAAGTTCCCAGGTGAGACTGATGCCATTTGGCCCTAAGCTGCTAATTAGCAACATATGTCCCTTTCGTGAGTGCCAGGCTGGTTGCCCGCCCCAGATGCAGCACAGAGCTCCACGTGTTTCCCTCGTAGTCTCATCGCCAGTCCCACAACAGGGCCCTGCACTTGTTGACACACTGATGGGTCACATGATGCTGGGTGAGTGAGAGAGGACGGTGGCAGGAGTTGAACTTGCCAAGCCTTTAATGACCACGTGAAGCCCCAGGCCTGAGGGCACCAGGCCAGAGCTGTCCTGACGCTGCGCCCGGACGGGAATCCAGCCAGGCGCTGGGCCCCCAGTGAAAGCAGAGGCTTTTCCAGCATGTCCTGGGGTTTCTCCTGACCTTCCCTCCCGACCTTCCCACCCGACTTTCCCTCCCGACCTTCCCTCCCCACCGACCAGTTCTTTAGGCCAGCAGTTCTCCACCCCGACTGCCGGTGAGTCACCTGAGAGCTTTAGAAAGTCCTGATGCCTGGCTGCCGGCTGTGCCTGGGGCAATGGCATCAGTGGCGCCGGCACAGCGCCAGCTTCTGACAGGCTTCTCAGCTGTTCTCCAGGCTGAGAACCACGGACTGAGAGGCACTGCAGCCTCGAGGTGGGAGGCTTGGGAGTCTCAGACCCAGCCCTGGGCGGCATCCAGCCCTGCCTTCCTGGCCTGCTGGCTCCGCCACCCCGAGGCCCACACTCCCTGTCCACAGTGCAGGTCTGTACACACCTAGCGTGTTCCTAAAGGTCAGCTCAACGCGGGGGGATATGGAGGAGGGTGGAGATCAGGTTCTGTAGGCATGGCCAGGGGCCTCTGTTCTGGTTTCCTGAGGAGGCCCCTTTTGTTGACGTGGGGTTCCTGGGTTAGAGTATGGTACCATGAGGAATCCTGCTAGGGAGAGGCTGACCATGGACCCTCTGTTACTCAGACTCAAGTAAGCCCTGTGACAGGAGGCTTTCACATATTGAGGTATACGGGTTCAAAACTGATTGGGCTTGTGGTGCCAGCCTGGTGGCATAAGTGGTTAGGTTCACATGCTCCGCTTTGGTGGCCTGGGGTTCTTGGGTTTGGATCCTGGGCATGGACCTACACACTGCTCGTCAAGCCATGCTGTGGCGGCACCCCACATACAAGGTGGAGGAAGATTGGCACAGATGTTAGCTCAAGGACAATATTCCTCACCAAAAAAACAAAACAAAACAAATGGATTCAGCTGAACTAAAGAAGTCTGACTTACGGCCTATCAAACATACATTGTACATCTGCTTTAACCATTAAAGAATGAACTCTCTTAAGGTAAGAATGCATACTTCCCCTCCTACACCCTATTCTATAGGTAATGCCCCTATTAATCCCATTCCCAACATCAGGGTCATGTTGACCTGCTAATTTGCAACTGAATACCTCTTTGAAACTTTGGTGAATACATACTGTGGGCGAGTTTAATGTATGTTCTTTGTTCTAAAAAGGTGTAAGACTGTACTGAAAACCATGCTTCTCCAGAATGCTTTCTTCCTTTTTGGAAAAGCCCTTCCTGGGTTATAATCCTCACTCTGGCTCAAGTAAAACTCACCTTATCTCTCTTATCTGTGGAATGGTTATTGGTTATTTTGCATCTAAGCCCCACGCTGTGCACTGTGGCTCTGGAGCCGGAGTTCAGATCTCAGCTCTGCCACTTGTGGGTCTCGACTGTCTGACCGTGAAGAAGGGATAACATGAGGTTGTGCAGGGCGGTGTGCGTTAGGACAACTCAGGCTTGCTCCCTTCCCTCCCCCTTAACATGGGGGAGGTCTCCAAACTTTGACAATGGTGCTCCCCACAGGAGACGATTTCTGAGCACTCCCAATGGATGTATATTTATACATTGCACTCATGGGTTATTATACGAACATATTATGTACATTATAAAACATTTTAAAAAATAGAATCTTTAAAGAACTGAGGTAAACATATAAATACAAGTTCTCATATTTTCTTGCTGCTGCCGCTGGGTGTGTACACCCCGCTTTGGGGTGCCCTGCTGGAGGGGCGGTGGTCACAGGGGGCAGGAGCGTGGGGCAAGGAGGACCCCGGCGCGGGGGGGGAGGGAGGTGGAGGGCTGCAGGTCGGGCCCTGGGGAGGCTCAGGGCGGAGGCGGGGGTCGGTGCTACAGCTCAGAGACGCTGGGGAAGCGGAATCTACAGGCGGGGGCCGGAGCACCGCGCAGCCCGGCGGGATCCACGAGGGACGGTCCCGGCCTGGGGGGTCTGGGACCCGGGGAGCCCGGGCACGGGAATCCGGGGCAGAAGGATCGCGGGCGCGAAGCTCGGGAGTGAGGGGACCCGGGTCCCAGACAGTCTGGCAGCAGCCGCGACAGGTCCTCCACGAGGTGCCACTTCTCCTGGACTTGCTGCGGAGGGAGCGAGCAGCCGCTTAGGAGCGGCGCCTCCCGCCACCAGCGGGCGGTAGAGACAGTGGCCGGCCTCCCGGGCTCTGCAGCCCACAGTCCACCGCTCCGCCCCCGGCCGAGGACCCGCCCAATCGGGCCCTGCCCCACCCTATGCCACGCCCCTAAACCAGAGGCCACGCCCCGTCACTGTTCTGCTTCGTCTGACGCCCGGCTCCGCCATGGTCCCGCCCAGCTAAGTCAGAGACCACGCCCCCTCCAGAGTCCCGCCCCCATCCCTTGAAGGCCCCATCAGGGTCCCGGCCCAGCCCGGTCGGAGACCAGGCCTCCACCAAGGTCCCGGCCCCGCTCTCAGCCCAAGGCCACACTCCTAATAAACCCCCGTCCGCAAGCCTAAGGCCATATTCCTGATGTCTGGCTCTCGACCTGAGGCCACGCCTAAGAAGCCCGTTCCCTCCCTCCACGTTCCCCGCTTTTACCCCCAGCCTGAGGTCACACTCCTAGACAGGGTCTCGCCCGCAGTCGGGCGTCTCCCAGCCCAGCGGACACTCACCCACACCAGCTGCTTCCGGAGCCTTTGAATGGCCCTCGCATTGGCCTGGGACTGGGAGACGCACACGGTCAGGACAAGGCTTTGGACAGACAGGTATCCGTGGTCAGTCACCCCCACACGTCTGCCCTCCCCACCCAAGTCTCTTAGAAACTCCTCCTGGGGTCTTCTTCTGCCTGTGTTGGCAGACACCACTTTCTCTCTCCTTGCCTTCCTTCTGCAGGTCCCTCAGCCCCTCTCCTCTAAATGGCAATAAGAATAACTCAACAGCTGCGGGTTTTCAGTGTGGCTGCACCAGGCAGGGTGCTTCCCCGGTGGTCAAGTAAGGTGCCCGCTTTACAGGTGAGGCCCCGTGGGGGCTGCCCAGGGGCACAGGTGGAACCCCCAGGCCATCTGCCTTTGGGCCCATGCTCCGTCCCCTGGACCCTTGCCTCCCTCAGCTCTCCCTGTCTGGCTTCTGGATCCCATGAGATTGGCTGGGGGTGCCCATGGAAGGCAGGACGCCCCCGCCCCCGGCTCCCAGCTGCCTCCTCCCTTGCCCCTGCTGTCCTGAGAGGTACCTGAGCAGGATGAGGAGGGGGAAGCTGAAGGCATGGGAGCTGAGGTAGTGGAGGGCGCGCTGGCCAAGGGGTGGGAGCCGGAGGGCCCCCAGCTCTGGGACCACCTGCCAGGGCGCCGAGTAATTGGCAAAGAGGCCGCAGTCCCAGGAGGAGTGGATGCTGCGGAGAGACAGCCAGAGAGTGGGTGGCGTCAGGGCCCCGGTGAGGAGCTGCCTGCTCACCCACCAGCCTCCCGCCCCTCTGCTCCCCTCACCTGCTGACCACATAGCCCAGGGGCACGGAGGCCAGGAGCAGGCCCAGGATGAGCACCAGCTGGAAGAAGAAGGTGGAGCTGGAGGCGCGGAATCGCCGAGAGGGCGCTGTGGAGTTCCTCAGGAGGGTATACTGGGAGTAAGTGACAACAAATGGGGGTAGTTAGCCCCAGCTTACAGCTGTCCAGGAGTCTGAGGCCCATGGATGTGATGTTGTGGGGGGTGCAGAAGCAGGATGTGAGCCCCGCCCCTCCCAGCCTGTGAGCCCTCACCTTCTTGAGGTAGAAGGTGAGAAAGATGAAGACGCTATAGAGCAGGGGCAGCAGGGGGCAGTAGAAGAGGCCCATCCAGGTGACTGTCTGCCCCGCCACGATGTCCAGCACGTTCTTGGGCACCAGGAACTCCTCCCGGCCCAGCCAGGCCCAGAACCGGCCCGAGAATCGCTCCACAAGCAGCCTGGGGGAAGGGAGTGTCCAGGTGCCCACCACCGGGCAGGAGCACGTGGACCACACCAGTCATGGTCATGGACCGTCACACACTCCTTCACGCAGACACACACGTGTAGAACAGCTCACCCTTGGCTATGGCCACTGGCCATCCCCAGACATGCCCAGGTCACCCCCATTCTCTGTGTAGTGTCCCCACATGGCTCACCTCCTAGGCAGGGTGACAAGGAAGGTGAAGGCCACTGTGAGGAGGAAGTTGAAGATGCTCAGCTTGTACAGCTCCTCCCCCACCGAGTTTTCCCAGCACTGGTGCAGAGGGGAGACCTGTCACCACCCACGGTCCCCAGCCACCCCTCACCCACCCGTTGGGGGGTCTCTGTGGTACAAGAGCCTTGCCTGGAGCCTGATATGATAGCTAAGTTACAACCCGGGCCTCAGGGATGCCTGGGCAGGGAAACCCCACAGCCAGGGCTGCCACCCTGCACGGCATACAGTGTGATGCGAATGGCGCCTCCTGGAGGTGTGCTTCTGTAGGAGCAGCTCTGCCCACAGGCTCTCAGAAAGGATAGACCCAGAGAGGGATACGGAGATCAAAGACCTGGGGCTTTGTGGAGATAGACGGGAGGGACAGGCCCTGATGGAGCCACCAGTCACCTGGTAGTCACAGGCCTCGTAGCCGTAGGACTCGCAGCTGGTCTTGTTTCTGCCAATGCACAGCACGGTCTGGCCCAGGGAGAAGGAGAACATCCCCAGGCTGGCCAGCTTCAGCACCACGCACCTGGGGGGCAGGGGCTGTGTCAGGGGGCAGGGCCCAGGTACACGGGCACACCCCAGCCAGGGTGCAGGTGTGGCTGACATCTGCGTGAGGTCCTGTCTCTCCTGGGCCCAGCCCCCTGTGAACCCAGAGTGCAGCCTCCTCTGACCTGCTTCAGCTACGACAATGTTTCCCAAAGTGTGTTCCCCAGAATTCCGGGCTCCAGATGATTCCTGGGAAAAGGGTTCTCTTTTTAAATCAGTTTGGGGAACACTGCACAGTTCAGCTGTCCTCCCCCTACACCCAGCCTGGAGATTCACAGGCATATATGGGCCTTTCATTTCCTAATTGCAGGTGAGATCTTTCTTTCTTCCACCACCTGTTCATACCCTAGCCCACTCACACTGTCTCATAGCACAGACTCGTGCATGCACACTCCTGAATAATGCATAACTAGATCATATAGGTAGGACCGCCTAACCCAAAAGCATCGCGTGCACGTTATATCCAAGCGTGGACTTGCAATGCTGACGTGTGGCAGGAGTCTGGCTGGGAACAGTGGTTCTTCTGTTGAGGGAGGCCAGGAAACAGGGATGGGTGGGGGCTTATTTTTCATCTTTCATCCTTTTGAACATTTTGATTTATTTATTTATTTATTTATTTATTTATTTATTTATTTATTTATTTATTTATTTATTTTTTTGTGAGGAAGATCAGCCCTGAGCTAACATCCATGCTAATCCTCCTCTTTTTGCTGAGGAAGACCGGCTCTGAGCTAACATCCACTGCCAATCTTCCTCTTTTTGTATGTGAGCCGCCATCACAGCGTGGCCACTATCAGACGAGTGGTGTAGATCTGTGCCCGGGAACTGAACCTGGGCTTCCAAAGCAGAGCGTGCCAAACTTAACCACTAGGCAACCGGGGCTGGCCCCATTTTGAATTTTTTACCATGTGCAGGTGCTATTAACTATTCAAAAAATAAAATTTCAAACCAGGCATAGACAACCTTGGAGGAAAGCTGAATGCGCTCCAGACAGCTTCTGCTCCGGTGAAGAAGGAAAGTGGGCAGATCCAAGTGGGGGCGGGGCGGCAGATAGAGAGAGAAGCTGGCTGGAGTTCAGTGGGGGGTTCAAAGAGGGGCTGGTGGGTCCAAGGGAGCACCCTAGTCCTAAGAGAGGAGGCAGAGCAGAGCATGGGGGCAGAGGAGGGCTTGCGTTTGAACCTGCACCCAGCAGGCATGGTGAGCTTGACCTTGGCCAAGGCACTACCTCCCCATGTACCTCAGTTTCCTCATCTGTCCAATGGGGATGAGAATGGTCCTGACTTCACAGCTCATGTGAGGGTTGTCAGGTAAGGGGTGTAAACCCTTCGGGCACATGGGAGGGAGCTGTATTCCTAAGTGTGTGAAGCTGGTACCCAACACCCCCTGGCAAAACAGTCACTGGCCCCTTTGAATGGCCGGCACTTGGGCCAGACTGCTTTGGACCAAGGGGACAGGAAGACCTTAGGCCAGGGCCCCTGAGACCGTGTGTTCTGGAAGTGCCTGCCTATCTTCCCTTGCTCAGGTGCCAGGTGTTAACCAAGACGGCAGCAGGGTACAGCTTCCTCCCATGCCCCTGGGCCCTCCCTGCCTTCCCCTCCCTCCACACGCTGTCCCACTTGTCACCCCCAAGGGGGCACTCACCAGATAAGAGTGAGGTTGACCTCAGTGTTGGGAGAGTAGTTCTCCAGCTGGACCAGGAAAACAAACAGCAGGGGACCCAGAAAGTTGACCAGGGCAATGACCCCAGGGGGCAGGTACTGGAGCAGCACAAACAGGGATTCCTGTGGGGGAAAGCAAGTGAGGGGGTGTGTGTGGGCTGGAGGGCCCCCAGCAGCTCCCCCATCCCCTATGACCCCCTCAAGTGTAACTGGCGCAGGCCCAGGATCCAGAAGCCCATGGACTATTCCCAGTGGCAGCATGGCTGACAGCTGGATACCCACAGGGAGAGCCAGTCTGATCTGGCCGTGACCTTGGGCGAATTGCTTTAACCTCTCTGAGGCTTGATTTCCTCATCTGCGAGGTGGGACCACCCCATCTCCCACAGTTCTGACCAGGATTAAATGATTGCATGTCAGTCGCCTGGCACCTCCTTGTTGTCCTGCGAATACTTGGTGGCCCAGAAGATGGCGCTGATGGCCCCGACCACCAGGAGCCCGATGAGGATGTTGACCCGTAGGTAGGTGAGCAGGTGGCAGACCCTCTGGGCCCGGGTCTGCTGCTGCTCCAGCAGGAAGCGACGCCCCTCCTCCAGCTCCACCTGTCATGGGGGCGGGGCAGAGGCAGGTTAGGGCTGGCCCCTGGGGGTCAGGGTGGCCGCCAAACAGACCCAGGCCCAGGTCAGTGTGGGGGGAAACAGGCTGCCAGGATCTAGGCAAGGTTGTGACACAGGGGCAGGGACAGGCCAAGGAGTGGCAGCTGGTTTTATCTAGATCCCCCTCGCCCCCTTGCACTGTGCAGGTGAGCACTCACACACAAACACCAGCACAGCCCCTGCCTCCAGCTGTAACACCCTATGCACGTGCACGTGCACGCACTCTTGCACACTCACATTCACTCAGTCACTCAGACACACTCATTCTCAGATCATACACACTCATATACACAGTCACACATGCTCTCACACTCATTCACACTTACACACACCTCACGCTCATGCGTGCCCTTGCACGCACCTTGAACTCATTGCTGATCTCATGCTTCTTGATGGTGGATGCTTCCCATCCCTGGATACAGAAGTCCCAGGAGGAGAAGACCTTGGCACTGAGAGGCGACCGGTAGTCCTGGCCCAGGAACAGCCTCTGTGGCAGCCCCTTCACCATCCTGGAGGGGCAGGAGGCCAGGGCCTGTGAGGGAGGGGCCCCTCCTGTCCACCAGCCTCAGCCCTGGCTGGGCTCAGGGTCCGGGCTGGGAAGCCCCTGGCAGCCCCAGGAGCAGGCTTTGGCCTCGGCCTGGGTGGGGGTGAGGAGACAGGGGCAGTGGCGCCTGCCCCTGCAGTCTGCAGTTGGTCCCTGGAACCACTGATGAGTCTTAGTGAACAGGGGCCAGTGCCTTCCTGACAACTTAGGGGGTACCATGGCAATGGAGGGGTGATCAGGGAAGACCCCCTGGAAAGAGGCAGAGTCGGGGGCTCCGCTCTCACCGCCGTAGAGTCCCACAGAAGCAGAGGAGCAGGGAGGCCAGCGGGCTCAGGAGGTAGGCCAGGCGGATGCTGTATGCCGAGCTGCTCTCGGGCCCCGCCCGGTACCCACCATAAAAGAGGTAGGTGTTGTAGAAGGCCTGGGGACGTGGAGGATGACAATTGAGCAAGAGTCTGCCAGGCTGTGTGCTAAGTGCTTTCTGCATATTAACTCATTAACTCTGACAATAACCCCAGCAGGGAGGGAGTCAGAGTATCCCCCTTTCACAGAGGTTCAGAGTGGTTAGGCAACTTGCCCAATGCCACACAGCTTTGAGGAAGAACCAGGACTAGAATACAAGAGCCTGCATGGTAACCACTCAGTGGCTTCCAGGCATGAAGGTGGGGTGGTGCGCATTCCAGAGGCCTGGACACTTTCCCCTCTTGTCCCTTGCACCCCTGCCCCAGCTGGGCTCTGAGGGCAGTGGGCCTGGGCTGTGCACAGTGGCCTGAGCCTCTCAATGACCCCATTACTGGCCTGGCCAGCCTGTCTGCATAAGACCATCCACCTAGAAGCCAAAATGTCCTTAGAGGGGTGGGGGCCCTCTTAGACTAGGGTCCCCCAGCCCCCCTGGTCCATAGCCAGGACAGACCCACTCACCCTGCCGGTTAAAACATTCCAAAGTTGATTGTGAAGATTGGGAACACCAGTCTGGGGCTGGTGGCCGCCGGGGCACTGGAAGGCTGTAGAGGAGGGAGAGGGGCCAATAGGGAATGGTCCCCAAGGCTTAGGCGAGGCTCTGCCCCACCCACTCCATAGTCCCCAGCCCCGGGGAGGCCGAGCAGGGTCCTGAGGATGTGTCAGGAGGTGTGCCATGCAAAAGGTGCAGGCAGAGAGAGTCCCAGGGCTGGACCATGCAGGAGGGCGCCCAGGATCAGAACACAGAGGGTCAGGCAACATTCTGAGCCCTGGACCAGCCCCCCAGGGTGCAGGCGGGCTCCGGGGCACTATTCCCTCCGCGGGCCAGGCACTCACTGAAGTTAAGGGTGGGGCCTGGGTCGGGGGGGCGGAGCCAGACCAGGGGCAGCAGGACGAAGCCGGCGGTCAGAAGCAGAGTCAGCAGGTTGAGCAGCAGCAGGAAGCGAAGGAAGGTGAAGTAAGACTGGATTCCGGTGCCAAAGAGGCCTATGGGGAGAGCAGCAGGTGGGTCAGAGAGCCACCAAGCCAGGGACTCGGCTAAGAATCCGAGGGCTGTGGGATGTGAAGGCTGTGGGTTGTGGGTGACCAGTCTCAGGGGCACCTCGGTTTAATGGCCGTGTCCGGGAGGCCTCACTAGCAGTACCTCTGGCAGCCACCAGGGGGTGCTGTCATCCATCAAGATGTGCGCAGTGGCTCTAGGGGCACAGGGAGTTGTGTGAGGATGGGGGGACTGGTTGGTGGGGGAGGAGGGGGGCAGTGGCAAGCAGGATGATGCCCTCCTCCCGTTTCTGAACTGGACATTGAGACTCAAGAGAGGGGAGGAGGGGGTTGGGGTGCAGGTCCTACCCCCGATCTCGTAGAGAGCCCCCTCCCAGAGCCCAAAGCCCTGGGCCAGCCGCTGCACTGCCTCCCCCAGGCGTCCTCCGGCAGTCTGCCACCTGCGCCGCCACCGCTGCCAGCACGAGGTCTTCACCCCCTCGGGCTCCCGCAGCTGCCTGGGATGGGGTGGTGATGGGGGTTTCCCTGAGTCACCCACTGTGCCCCCTCGGCCAGGCAGAGCAGCACCACGGGCTGAGGGAGTCTTCCCACTCTGGTGATTTCCACCCCCCCACCCAACAGGTGCATCTTCGCGGTGCCCCCCCCCCCCCCCCCGCCGCTGGGCCTCAGCCGCGTCCTGGGCCCCCGGCACCCACCGGATGAAGCGCTTGTCCGCCATGGCATAGGGCAGCGTCCGCACGGGTTCCTGGGAGGAGCACAGCCGCTCCATCTCCTGCTCCCACAGCTCCTCGCCCGCCGCCTCGGGTTCTGGCTCCCCGGGGGCCCGCTCCCACTGCACCGACCACTGGGGCAGCATCTCTGCCGGGGGGGGGGGGGGTTGTTGGAGGCTCCAGGCTGCAACCCCCCCTTCCCAGGAGAGATGTGGGGCGCCTGTGGGTGAGCCTCAAGGTCTTGTCCCTGGCAAGCCCGGAAATGAAGAGAAAGAATCCTGTTGGAGGAGATCTGTGCTCAGCCCCCATCCGCCTCTCAAAGCAACATAGGGCCAGGGGCCTCAGTTTCCCCGTCTGTCAAATGGAGAGAAAGGTCCAAAGTGCAGGGAAAGATGGGACTGTCACAGACAAAGCCAAGGCCAGGGATGGCCACAGATAAGCACGGGGGAGGGGAGAAGTGGGGGGGCAAGGCCGGCTTTGTCCCATCCTCACCTGCTACCTGTGGCCACAGGCCTTTCATGTCACCCTTTGGCCAGAGACAATTCCCGCTCTCTCTACGTGCTGATTCTCCCTTTGGGAAGATGTCCCTGCACCAACATCTGGCATCCTGCAGCACCTGGGATCCCGACGTGCTGGGACCCCCTTCTGTTTTCTATCTTGTGGTCCAGCCCCCAGGACTGGGTCTGCCTCGGTCCCCCATGGACCCCAGATGAGGAGGCGTGGCTACAGTCCCAGCCGTGGGAAGGGGACGAAGGGACTCCTCTGCAGCGGCTCTAAGTCTCACCCCCCACGGCCTGAGCAGCCCCTCCGCCTCAATTCTCTCCCCCACTCTCACTCTCCGCCTCCTCCCCCTGCTTTGCACCCATCTCACCTGGGGACAACAGATCAAGGCCCCGGAGGAGCCCTGTCCTCGGACCGGCTCCCGCCACGCCACGCAAGACAGCGAGGGAGCAGAGGGGAGGGGGTCACATGACAGGAACCCCAGCTCCCCGCTCCGTCTCCTCCCCTCCACTCCTCTGCCCCCACCTCCGGCTGTTTCCTCATCTCCCCGCTGAGCCGGCACTTCCTGCGGGCGCGCGGCGCAGGCGGGCAGGTGAGAGGCGCGCGGCTGAGCTTCCCCAGCCGGCGGAGCCCGGGGCGCGCTGTCCGGGGGTCGAGCCTCCCTCCCCGCGTGGGG